CGTACTTACGCACACGTCTGTCGTCTGTCGATCTAAAGATAATCCGCGGGCGGCGGCCGGTGTACATTTTCACAGATCCGGACGGGGGGTATACGCGCGCCGGTGGTACACGACGGTGGTGGTAGGGATCGTCCTCGACGGTCTCCAGAAGAACGTCGCCGGAAGGTGGGAGCCACGGCGAAGCGAGTTCGACGAGTCTCTCTGCCCGACCCAGTCGTGACTAAGACCGCAGGTCGAACGCATCCCTGGACAACGAACACGAAATGTGAGTACTTGCGCGCGAGTGCCCATGTGGTACTCCGTGCACATCCGATCGAAGACAATCGTGTTCCGCGACACTGTAAGCGTCCGCGAGAAAGTCCCGATTGGCTCCTATTCTTGCGGCAAAACAAAGAAATAGTTTCTTCTGTGAAAAAGAAGTGCCGTAAATCTATTTGTAAATAGTGATAAGTGATATTTTCGCAAGGTCTCGTTCGCGCCAGAATTTCGACTAAGTAACTCTGGGAGTCCTTGTGTAAATGTCACTTAAACTCTAAATCATTTGCATTCGAGCAGTCCGCGAATTCCGACAAACTTGAGTAAACACGTTGGTGAGAGAAGAAACTTTTTGGTTTCATGCAGAAGAGCTATGTATTCTCCGCGTGAGAAGAATTCCAACAATTTCTATAATCTGTGAGAATCGACAGTGTGCCCTCAACTCGCAGTAGGGACTCCAGTTTATTGCGTGAAAGGAGAAACGACTTCAACTTTGTGGAATGCACGAATACACTTGTTCAAATAAATTTAGAATAAGAAAAAAAACAGATCGGTATTCGCGCGTGTGTTCACGTTTCAAAAAGAAAAGAAACTGGTCTTGAAGTATTGGTTCACAAAGACACAATAAAGAAAGACGATTGTTGTAGATCAAGTAATTAAAATAAAACTAAAATCAAATAAAAATAATCCAAAACATTAATATTACTAATCAAGTATTAAATAGTTATTAAATTTTTTTTTTTCATCATTGAAGAAGTGATGGTCGCGCCCATCGTAACTATATCTCGGTATAGAGACATCGCATTGATGGAGAAACAATTGCGTTCTGTCATCCAAGAGAATGAGTTAATCCTCAATGAGTGACTCGTGTCTGAACAAAAAATGAAATAACTCAATTGTTGGCTTCGGCGGTAAAAAAAGATCATCTTTGTTCTTGTCTTGAAGTTTAATCAAGTATCGATAGTGTTCGTATATAAGACCGGTCATGTTCACAATGTGATATTTTTATTCTTCTAATATCTATCTAATAAAACAACTGCATTATTCAATAACATAAACGCCAATAATAACGAGTAAAATATTTTCGCAGAAATATATTGCGATAACGGGTTGCCATAGGCGAGAGGCTCTACCTTCCGGAATGCAGTGACTCATAAGGATCTTTTTTTTTTTCGCGTTCACGCGCTTAACCACTGTGACAACATTGTTCAATCTTCCAATCACATTTGCTACGGAGACGAATTTCTTCGCGCATTCCGTCGCCATTTCTCCCAAGAATATGAGCTAGCGTTACTAATGACAATTTACAATGCTATATGCTAAAAATTTATTTCTGTGTGTGACCTTAATTATATTTAAAGAGAAATATGTTTGTTGACTTACTAACCACGTCAACCGAGAAAAGCAATTAACAGAATTCCGCGCTTCGTCTTTCGGATACCACACGCAATACAAAGTCATTTACGTGGATTATTAAAAACCAACTTGCGAAATTGCGTGCCAACATATATTTTTTTTACCTGCTTTGTAATTGAAAAAAAAGGACGTTTTTGATTACACAATTAAAAGAAAAATAGCCGACAATTCGGCACAGAATCATTTTTCTTTCAAGCGTAACAGGACACCGCCGAGTTGAATTACTCGGCCGATACGTTTAGAAGCGATGTCCGCTATGCGTAACCCGAAATGGCTCGACCGGCAGCAAGCGGTAGCGATTCTTACTGCCCTCTCTCCTTCTTAATGTGTAAAAATAACCCTCGCTAGCGATACGCGCGGTTTTGGATCCGAGAAATGCGCAATCAAGTTTTCGGTAAACTCGTTTGATTCCTCCTCCGAGGACGCACGAACGAAGCAAACGCTGATTTTTTTGTCGCGCGTTCTCTCTTGTCTATCAATGACGCTGATGATCTCGGAACTTTCACTTGTGTATAATATTATACCACATTAATGAGAGCAGAATCAACCATTTCAATGAGAAACCGTCTATCTCTTACGAATATTCTGTTATACATTTATAAATATTTACGAAACGTATAAATATTTATGGAACTAGCGTTTCTATACACGGCATATCTCACGTTGACTTCGCAGAATCTCTCGTCTAATATTTCTGCTTCTCTGAATATCGCACAAGCTCCATTTCCCTTTCGTTGTCTGCTTACCCGGCATCTCTGATTATCAATGCGCGCGCGCGCGCGAGTCCGGAATCTTGAGCATACTCCGGTCTTATAGAAGCTAGCAAACGAGCAGAGATGCAGTTCCACCATACAATTGCAGTGGCGCAGGCAGAGAATTCTTGAAACCCTTTATTTAAGCGCACACACATTATTGAATTCTTGGCGTGAATAATATATAATTTATCTTAAATTTACAATTGTTTTTCTAGTATTTTATACTATTGGTTTTCCACTATTTTATACTATTTATTTAACGCGATAAAAAAAAAAAAAAAAATCACAAAATTTCCGTCTCAAGAATCAAGTAAAATCGAATTTTTGTTATTTTTATTGTCTCGAAGTTCTTGATGCCAATAATATTTGGTCAACCTTGATATTTCTTCGCGGTTTTGTACGTAACAAACTTCAAATGCATCGGATCGCGAACTACATAGCGATACTGTCGCGAAAACGGACTATCCTTAAAGTTTATTCATGGTTATTCATAAGATGATTTCATCGAAAGAGTCAAATGGTTCCTGCGTGTGCGTCCCTGGCACGTCTTCGCTCTCTTAATCGCGTCGTAGAAATGTCTCGCTGTTCAGATATACTCGGCTGGAATAAACTACGGACGATGCAGTCACGATGCAGATTTTTGTTCCTCGTGTGTGCATACGAGAATCGCATACCTGAGCAACGTGTATGACGTCACGGAGACGATGAAGTCTCTCTCTCGTACGCGCGAACCTTCTTTCACCGGCCCGGGTCTTCCTTCTCAGCGAGAAGCCGGCACTATAAATAGGATATCCGGCCGCTCGCTAATTATACACCTATAGCCGTATTTCGCCGAATTCGCGCGAGTCTGGAATTTTCTTGATTTCGAGAGCGCCCATGAGAAATTTACATTTCCGCGCCACGCCGATCCTTCCTTATCCTTGAAATGCCATTGTAAGTTACTGGCGGAAGGATAACGGACTCACCGCACCAAACGATCGCACAGCATACCTACGTATTCGCCGCGGTCAGTATTATTGCAAGAAGGCTATACGCACTGCACTCCTTTACAAATTAACAAAATTATTGCCGGCTGAAAAAAATAACCAGAGCATAATTAATTGCTCATCAGAGCGGTTTTTTAGGTTTTGGTTGACGCGCGGCGCAAAAGACGTAAAAAAGCGGGGACTGTTGAGGCTAATTGGATGGTTTCATGCTATAATAGACTAATTGACAAGAATATTTTCTTGACAAGCGGTTATTATCGAGCAAACCTGGCAAATTAGCGTGCTATTAAGCGCATACATTTTTAAACAAGTTTTAAATAAGTAATTTATTTTATACAAAATCATTTTACGAACGACTAGAAAGAGCGTTACTTAGTGATGCTTCACGCGACCCGCTTAAAGAAGAAACATTATTGTGCGTTTCTCTTTTCTTTTTTTTACTTTAATCATGTCTTCATTTGATGCAGATTTTCTCCTAGCAGACGAGTAAAAACACACAACCACCACCATGGACGCGATCAAGAAGAAGATGCAGGGAATGAAGCTGGAGAAGGACAACGCGATGGATCGCGCGTTGCTCTGCGAACAGCAAGCCCGCGACGCGAACGCACGAGCCGAAAAGGTAAATACGGGCTGAGAAAATTATAATCATTCGCCATGTGCGGTCACAGCTCGACAGATTCTGATAAGATTACGTTCACGACGATATTAGCTTCAAGGCAAATAATGCGAAAAAAATAAAAATAATTGGATTTCTACAGGCTGAGGAAGAGGCACGTGCTCTCCAAAAGAAGATCCAGACCATCGAAAATGATCTTGATCAGACTCAAGAAGCTCTGATGCAGGTCAACGCGAAATTGGAGGAAAAAGACAAGGCTCTGCAAAATGTAAGTTAAAACTATTCACACTAATATTTATTATCGAATAAAGCAAAGAAAGAAGTTGTCGGCGTAGTTGCTCGAGAAATGAATTTCATATATATTGATTTAGTGATCGGTCACAGAGATCAAATATATATTAGAGCAATATATCTCATATATTGTAGACAAAGAGAGAGTGCGAGATTATTGCTTTCGTTTTTGAGATATTCTTGAACTTCATAAATAAGAAATTCGAGAACGAAATGCAAAGCATTCCACGTCTTTTTTGATAAGGTAATCTTTTAAGAAGGTTGTACTTATACATTTGATACGCAATATGAAAAAGATCCAACTTCTTACTTAAATTATAGTTTATCCGCTAAACTTGACGCAATCGGGGACCTCTTGACCACATATCAGAGAAAGCGCAGCACAGATTCAAATTACCGACAGCGCGCTAATGCAGGTGTGCACCGCCCGATGGCGCCACTTACTCGCGCAAGCGCGGTCTTCGCCGACGAGCGACGCGTCCACTCGTCCTCTGCGAATAGTCCGTGGCGAATAGTCCGCGCAGCTTCCGCGTTATTTGCTCGGAAAGTGTGTTCGGAAACCTTCGGTTTTCCTTCTCCCTCCACTCGCGTAAGTTTTAAGACCGCCGTGGAAGGGGGCGACGCTCTCGCTCGTTGCGCGGGCGCGAGCGAGACAGACACAGCGTGTCCAGTGCACGGCGCAGATCGCAGCTGTGTTCTGTTTTCTCATGCACGCGCACCGTGTCGCGCGGCGTGTACGTGATAGCGACACGACACCACCGGCACGCTACATACGAGACGTTCTCGCGTGTGACGTGGGGGAGAAACGTGCGCTGCACGACCAGTGACAGACAAAATGGCGGAGTACAGTGATAGTAGAGCGGTGCATATCCCGCGGACTGCGTCAACGTGTACCGCAACGGGGGTTAGGAACAATAACGAGAACCGCAGTCCGACGACAGCTGGTCGCGGCATGGAACGACCGATGACAGCGACGACGAAACGTCGCGGTCACCAGCATCATCCGCGACACACCACGCGACGACGTCTCGACGCTTCCAGCAGAGGACCCGCGCAGTGTGGCCCTGCTGGTAACGCCGAGGACATCACCACGTCCGTCGGCGGTACCGAAACGTCGATCGCCAGCACGATTGACAGCCGTCTCAGCGTGGCGAATCCGTGCTCGCCCGTGCCGTGCACGCTCGGCACAAGGTGGCCAATGAGAATTAATCGGGAAGAGAACGAAACCACCGAGAATCGAAAAGAAACGGAGAACTCAAGAACAACTCACGATGTGATCGGGAACGAACGCACGAATAACAACGTCTGTAAAGAAGACGACGTCCGACAGAGGCTCGCGCAGTGTAGCCCGGACTTTCCCGCGTCTCCCGACGAGAGCAAAGACATCGAGCACGATGAAACGAGCACGGATTCAACGACGAGCAAAAAGAAGAAGAAGAAAAAATCCAATGTCAGTCCACGTGGGGGACACTCTCCCGAGATCAGTTCGGCGAAGAGTGACTCTCCCGAGCCTGAGCACGCGGTCGCGAGGGCTCGGGGTGATGGCAATTCCGACGACGAGTCGGCCAACGTCGAAGAGGATTCGGAATTGGCCGAGCTGGCTAAACTACGTTGTCCGAGCGAGCGAACGGAGGTCCAGGCCGAGCGGGAGGCTCGAAGGCGAAAGAGATGCGCTGATTATCCCGGCCTCGCCTTCGGTTGCTCCATATTCTCCAGCGACACGATGATGAAGTTCAGTCTGATTAAGAACGAATTGCAGAATATCATGGGCAATCAGCTGAAGCGGGTTAGTATCGTGCATGTGTGACGATGAATGATGCACAGCTGATGATAAAGCGAGCGAGAGTAGATATAAACACGAAACGGGGTTCTCCAAGGCCATAACGGCGGCGAGACCTTGATACACTGGTCAAAAGAGAGGTCCTCGGTGTCGGGTGATAATCAATTAGGCGGAAATGTCAATCTTCTGAAATGAAATTGCTTTGTTTCTGCCATTGAATTATTTCTCTTTTTAGCGTTTTAAGATTGATCGAAGAATCGAATATAAATCGACGCCTTCGTACATAGTAGATTTCAATTTAACGTTCCTAGCGACAGTCAATGTCGACGATTAAATGATGTAACGCAGGTTTTTTTTTGGAGAGGAAAGATAATTTATCGATATCGCGTTTAAACGAAACGGAGCAAAAACAGCAGATGAACTTCGTACTTACCGCATCGCATTGATATAAACGCGACGAGTGTGGGCGATATTAGCAATTGAAATCACGCGAGAATTGTCGCGGTTACTGTTATTCGCGAGAGTCACAAAAAGACATGAGTAAAAAAAAGAACATAGTTTGAAGTTCGTAGAAACAAATTTGAAACGCAAAGTAGATATTGAATTATTACGAGAATGTGTAAAAACCGTTTAAAGACAGATTGTGTCTTTATGAGTCAACCTGTAGACAGAGTATTAACGAACGAAAAGATATGGCTGTTTATTATCATGATCTGAAATCGAATCGATGTTTTATCCGTCAACGATCGGCTTGAAAAAATGAAATGTTACAATGTGTAGGATTTTTTTATATAAAAGAATTGAATAAACGAATTTTTTTGTGTATGATATAAAAAACACTTAATGTTTTAGATTTAAAAAAACTTTTGCAACATTATTTTGCTCTCTAATCCTTCATTTACATTTTTGTTGATCCAACAATTCGAGTCATATATCTCGCTAATATGATATTTTTATCTTTATAATTTCTAGAGCCATTAGAGCGACACATTTAAAAGCAATTTTATTCTTCACTGTACGTCTGTTGTCCGAAACTTTAAATGTAAATTGTTATTTGTGCTGTTTCAGTTTTTTTTTTTCCATTATTTATCAACAACAAGTCATTACACACGAGGTCATTATTTGGAAAAAAAAATGATAACTAATATTGTGAAGATAACAACAATAGAAATTTTCTTTTACAAGCGATTAACAACAAGCGAGTTTTTTGTGAGAGTAATGAGTTATTAGTGTATCACGCACGTTCTTTTCTCTCTCTCTCTTTCTTTCTCTCTCTTTGGCCGACGACCGGCATTTATTATTAGGGTTACTGAACGGGGACAATAGGTTACGCGCGTACATGATTCTGTTGCTCAATGCGCGCTCTGCTAGAAAGCCCGTCGACTATTAGATAACTCATCGTGCGCATTATTCAGTCTAACTCGCGAGAACATTAGAATAATCGCTTGTTTCGATATTTTTTTTTTCTTTTTTTTGCATTTTTTTCCTTCGGAACCGCGATACGTCACGTTGCGCACCGTGTTCGCGCTTTATCGGCGATTGCGATGTAGCGAAAGTTCTAAAGTTCAGTTTGCATTTTTTAACTAGATGATGCATCGCGCGCGCATACGACTCGCGTCTCGCTTCGTGTGTTGTCGCTTGTTATTCATCCGTGTACGTTTTACTTAACTACACCCGTCGTTGTATATAATGCGCTACGCGTTATGAATTTTTAACTTGAGCCAGACGTCAAACCGCTTGTTGAAGTTGTTTTCGCGGATCTCTTCTTGGAAATCAAGACTTGGCGCGTGACGATCGTCGATCCATAATTTCATCACTCGCTTCGTTCATGAAAAATGCATAATCTCTTCGTTTAAAAAACGTGTCGCAGAATATGCGTATATGAATAATTAATTTGTACGTAAACGTTATCCAATCAACGCGCATCTCTTTCCGGAAGCGCGCAGTTTCGCATCGGATCGCGTCATATCAGGCGTTGGATTTCGCTGGAAATTTTTTTTTTTTTTTTTTTTACTGAACGGACCGTCTGTCTTTGATTCCAGAAGAATGCGGCAAAGCATCTAATAATAGCGGGAATTGAAAATATACCGGAGCGAAAATATCTTTCTTGCTTGCGTCAACAGTTGCTGCACGTTGAAGCGCATCAACCGTGTATAATGGAGTAATAATGCGTTATAATAAATCGAGTCACACAAAACATCTCTCTCTCTGTCTCTCTTTTGAAGTGTACGGCACATAAATGCTTCGATACCGTTCGCGACATTCCACTCGTGCGTACAAGCCAGCTTCGACAAAAGATAACAGTAAAGACGGGATAAGAATCTTTTTTTTTGTTTTTATTTACTCGACGATATTCTCGCGACGTCAAAACACAGAATGCTGCTGAAGTATTTAACGAAACGTTCGGATTGTATTCGCGAGGTTGATTTTGTGTCGTCTGAATTAGATTCATTTGTCTGTCTTGTACTTGTCAGTGACGCTTAATTAACCGTCTCGATGATGATTGACGCCGGTCCTTTTTTTCTCTTTGTCGTCATCGGAACAATGAAAGCCCGTACGGGATGTTCCTCTCTCAGCTTAGATGCTTACATCGTCGGTTTCTTGTTTCGGGGGCCCCGCCCTCTTGCACATACGCGAGCGTTCTGGCGCGTTTTGCTCAGGCTTCTCTACCCCGTTCGACACGATCTGACTCTCGTCGTCGACATTCTAAAAATACGTGGCGGCCGTGATCCAGCGAGAGAGACTTTTTACACAGAAGGCCCCGAGATTGCGTAAGCTCCCGCTACCGGAGTTGCTGCGCGCGAATAAATCCGGCGGCTTTATATGCGCCTCGGCAACGCCGAAAATCGCGCGCGGCACTGCTGCAGAAAACGCCCACTCGACGTCGCATCGTTCGGCGTATTTGGAACGCGGTTGCGACTTCGCATTCCGCGAGCGAGAGAAGAATCTCACCGAGATTTCTTCGTTCGTTTGTTTACCCGTCCGCGTTTGTTTATTTTTCAACTTTGTTGAGATTGCACGTTTATACGATGACGATTATTATTTAGCATATAAAAATACGTACGTGTATTTCTCTTGAGACTCGACGGCGTGGCCTTACAGTCGCGTGGAAAACAATTTCAAAAATCATCTTGAACAAATATTGTCGCGTATCGAAGACGCATCAGCGTCAGTTGAGAAACGCGTCGCGAGACAACACACCGTTGCGAAACTCCTACACCCGAGATGGCGGGAATTTGGAACGCGTGCTGATTCGTCTTCGGTTTCGTCACACTCCAACGATGATCTTTGTGCGGTTCTCTTTTCTCCCGATACTCTTTCTCGTACATCGACCGATGTTTTATTTGCACGCCGCATTCCGCGATTTCTCGCTATTCGTGCTACTGGCGTCTACAATCGTTGTTCTCTACAACAAGTAGACATTTCTTTCTTCTAGTGGGTGAAAGTCACGATGACTTGTGCGCGCGATCATCGAACTGTCTTGCGAATAATGTAACTGTTAGGTTCATTCTTTTCAGTCGTATTCAGGTTTTTACTTTGTGGAATGAAAGAGGAAGAAATATTCACGTCGGGAAAGCAGTTGCGCGGAAAGAACGGTCTTCGCGATTTCTAGACAGATTGGGACCGATGCCAAGTCGAAACAATGTGAGAGAGGAACAGATGTAAATATTTCTCGTTGGAATTTTAGAGTTAACAAAAGTTTATACTGTCGGAATCGGCTAGGAATCGAATGTTTAACGATGTAAAATAAGATCAACAATTTTCATTAATTCAATTTCGCAAATATTCTCGCAAACGATGTGAAACGCGTTCGCGCGGAACTATGGAAATAATAAATAGTTAATTAAGGAACGTTGTGAGAGATAGCGTCGTGAGAGGCAACGCATAAGAGTGATCTCAGCGTGAAATTAACAAGACGAAGTTTTTTTTTTTTTGATAAACATCAACTTCGCGCCACACTAATTGTTACATACATCGTGATATCGTAAATTTTCTACGTCTTTGAAGAGAAATTGTTTTGTTTCTCAATTTATATAACACACAAATCGTGTAAATTATCGCATTAAAATGTAATTAGATTCAGAGAAAGAAATTTTGATGACGTACGTGCAATCGGCATTTATCTTATCAGAAATATAAATAACGGAAATCGATCGTGACCGGTAAGCACGCACGTTGCGATTTTAATTAAAGACCAACGGTATCTCGCGAATTGCGAGCTGTATTCAGAAGTTGTGAAGAAGTGAACGGTCGCGGTGCAATAAGGTCGAGAAACGCGCGCGCGCTCGCGCTAATACGCATAAATTAACGCTAACGCGAAATGAGATTTCGATAGACGTGCTAATGTTGAAGCACGAAATTGTAACGCAGCGGGAAGAGTTACAATTGGAATTTCATTTACATGTTCAGCCTTGTAATATTCACCGTTTAATTGTGTTACATACGTGCAACTATCAAGCAACGCTCACTTGCGCGTTTAGCGCATTTCTACAGTGACGAAAGGATTCGCAGTCACTCTAATTAAAACGTGAAAATACATAATCGTAATCGTTTCGAAATATCAAACACATACCGTGCAAATTAAAATTGATATAAATAATAAGTAAGTATATATTTTTCAAACTGTCCAGTATGTTAATTTTTCAACAAGGTGTGTGCGAGTTTGTGTGTGTGCATATTACACAACGAGTGCGTAAATTCTGAGTGAATTGTCAAGCAAATCCAAGTTGAAAACATGTATACAATTCGGACGTTTATTCACTATCTGTTGAAAATGTCAGACGCATTTACACGAGGTCGACGCGCAACCTATAAACTACAATTGTGAAACTAAGAAGGACGACATTATCGTGTTATAATTTCTAAAGAGCCCATAAATAGTCCCGTTGAGAGCCGTTTTATAAAAGACGAGAGTGAATGTTACACGTGTCAATATCGTCTATGAAAGACATGATATATTCGACCGTACAATCTTGTTTCAATGTGCACAACTAGAGCACGGAAAG